CCCAGCCTGGTGCCATGGCACTGTCCCCAGGCATAATGTCCCCAGCCCAGTGCCATGACAGACTCCTTAGGGACGATGTCCCCATCCTGCTGCCATGGCACAGGGTCCCTGGCACAATGTCCCCAGCCTGGTGCCGTGGCAGTGTCCCCAGGCACAGACCTGATCCCAGTGCTATGACACAGGGTTCCTGGGCACAGTGTCCCCCTCCTGGTGCCATGGCACTGTCCCCAGGTACAATGTCCCCAGCCTGGTGCCATGACACAGTCCCTGGGCACAGTGTCCCCAGCCTGGTACCATGGCAGTGTCCCCAGGTACAGTGTCCCCATCCCGGTGCCACAGCACAGGGTCCCTGGGCACAATGTGCCCAGTCCAGTGCTATGACACGGTCCTTAGGGACAACGTCTCCATCCTGCTGCCATGGCAATGTCCCCATCCCGGTGCCACAGCACAGGGTCCCTGGGCACGGTGTCCCCAGCCCAGTGCCACAGCAGAGTCTGCAGGCACAGTGTCCCCAGGCCAGGGTCCCTGGGCACGGTGTCCCCAGCCCAGTGCCACAGCCCGGTCGCCCCCCCTTGAACACAGCACTCCTGGCACGGTGTCCCCAGCCCCCCCGGGTGCCCGTGTGCCCCCTGCCCGCGGTGCCCGGGCTGTCACTCACCACAGCCGACCTCGTCGCTGCGGTCGGGGCAGTCGGGCTCCCTGTCGCACTGGTAACTCGCCCGGATGCAGCTCCCGCTGGACACGCACCGGAATTCTGCTGGCCCGCACGCCGCGCCGGGCGCCTTGGTGGCTGCAGGGGGGCACGGTGCCAGGCGTCAGCCGTGCCCCTGTCCCCCCGTGTGTCCCCCAGCCCCCCGCACTCACGGCAGTCGCTCTCGTCGGAGCCGTCCCCGCAGTCGTTCTCGCCGTCGCAGCGCCAGAGCTTGAGGGCGCAGTGCCCGTTGGCACATTTGAACTCGTTGGGCTCGCAGGGGGACGGGGTGCCTGCGGGGACAGGGGGTCAGCACCCGGGGGTGCCGAGGCAGGACGCTCTGCCCAGGTAAAGCTCAGATCTGGTCGGAGCACGCAAACAGCACCAGCTCTTGGTGGGGAGTTCCTGCCGGTGCCAGGGGGCTGCTTTGGGCTTGGACTGTGCCAAACCCAGCCTGGTTCACCCGCTGCAAACACACGGCCCTGCTTTGGGAAGCAGGGTTTGGCAGATAAGCTGCTCCCTGGCTCGGGAATACACGGGAAGTGGTCACAGCCCCAAGGGTGCCAGAGCTCAAGGAGCTTTGGGATGATCCTCTCAGGCCCAGGGAGATGGTCCCGGGCAGGGCTGAGGGTTGGACTTCACCGTCCCTTCCAACCCAGATAAACAGCCTGGGATAAATAATGCACTGTACACAAACACCTCTGATTTGCCATCGTTCACACCCGCAGGACAAAGAGGTTTAATCCCACCTCTGTAAACTCAACCCTTTGACATAATCCGAGCCTAAGATTTGATCCAGTCACACTTGGGCCTCTCTGGGAGGGAGTTTAAAAACCAAGCGGGTTTTCTGCACCTCAAGACTCAACAGGAGCTTCTCAGATAACTGTCTGAGCCTTTCCCTCCCCTCCTCGATCCTCGTGTGAGAGTCACATCAGTCTCCCCTCAATGACCATTTCTTTGGCCAGCTTTGCTCCAGTTAATTAACTCAACTGCTCTGATACAGAGTGCTATTGTATTTTAGGGTATATTTTACTCTACTAGGAGTTTGTAGCTTTGACACTGTGTAGTAAATAATTCTGATTAAGATCTTCAGTCTGTTCATTTGCCTGTTCATTTGCCATAATAAATAATTCACTTTAAACAAACGTAACTGGTTTGCCATCAGGACAAGGTGGTTTAATCCCACCTCTGCAATTCCTTACATTTAAACCTTTGGCAGAATCACAGACTCAGACTGGTCTGGGTTGGAAGAGACCCACAGGGATCATGGAGTAAGTGGCCCAGGCAGGGCTCAAACCCTGCCCTTGGTGTCACCAGCACCAGGCTCTGCCCAGCTGAGCTCAGCTCACCTCGGGCTCGTTTGTTTGCTCATTTGTCGTAACAAATAATTAATTTGAAATAAATCAATTTTATATAAACACCTCTGATTTGCCATCACTCAAACCCGCAAGACAAAGTGGGTTAATCCCACCTCTGTGACTCAACCCTCGGACATAATCCCTAAGGTGGGATCAGCCCCCCTGGAGCTCCTCTCTGGGAGAAGTTTGGGAACCAAGGGGGTTCTCTGCACCTCAGGATTCAACAGGAGCTTCTGGAATAACTTTGTCTGAGCCTCAAACTGCATGCAGGGGTGCCCCCGAGCTCTCAGTGTCACCGCCACTGTCACCGTCCCTGTCACTGTCACCGTCCCTGTCACTGTCACTGTCATCATCCCTGTCACTGTCACCATCCCTGTCACTGTCATCATCACCATCACTACCACTGTCACCGTCCCTGTCACCGTCACCATCACCATCATCATCACTACCAATATCACCGTCACTGTCACTGTCACTGCCACTGTCTCTGTCCCTGTCCCTATCCACCATCCCACCCCATCCCACCCCATCCCATCCCATCCCATCCCATCCCATCCCATCACACCC